ACTAAATCTTAACTAACATGAAACTTGATTTAATTTATACATTTAAATCCATTTTCTACCGTGATAAAACTGCGTAATTATGATAGGAATGGATAGCGTCCCTTCTCCTTTTTTAAACGTGTCAAAACTTGACTCGCTGTGTACGATGTCTCAGTTTTTTTCTTCAATGTTCCAACACGATGCCGTGGTAATTTTAGCACGGATGATCCATCCACATAGAGTTTAGCTGCTTTAGATACAATATCTTCAACATTGAGGACATTGCCTATTGACCAGTCGAGAATACTACGGTCTTCAAGAGTTGTATGTTGCTGGCGAACCTTTCGTTGCGTGTCCATGACGCTATAAAAACTTTCAACAATCGCCTCTGAACTTCCGAGAGACATTGCTATATCGAAAGCGGTCATAGATACAATTCCGGCCATAGCATACAGAGTTTCGTCATTATATAACATAGAAATGACTTTATCTTCTTGGACCGCAGCTTGATAAGTTGGGTGGTTGATAAACTCGAATGTGAACAAAGGATGTAATTCAACTTCGTTGGTTGTTACTGTCCCTTTTTCCATTTTCATCAACTTTGCTTCTGGGTCAGCAGTCACCGCAACAGCGATTTGTTGGTGTGTAGAATCAACTGGCATGAGACACGATAACAACTTGTTCTTCATATCCTTTTCCCAAATACTTACAGATAAATACTTACAGATAAATTTCGTATTGTTTGTTCGCGCTCAACATCATGGTAAACGTCACAGCCGTCATCGTCACTTGACTGATTTTCACACACGAACGACTCGGTCGATTGACTCGATTCCATTCACATTTAGTGCTTTTTTCACATTGCAAATTTGAATATAAAACATAGAAAACCTGCGATTTGCATAAATTTTTAAAAATTCATGTTTTGCGAATTTGCGGCTGCATTCTAGGTGGTCAGCCGAAACATTGATCCTTCTACTTGGTGTAAGACTAATTATATTTTTGCATTTCGAAATTTAAAAAGAAACAGTTAATGAGTGATAAAAATACTTAAATATTTACTAAAAATACTAACATTTTTAGTTTCTACAATATTCAGTAATTTACTTAATTTAAATTTCACTAAAATTTCACTATTTTGTGCACCAAATTGTTGTGGAAGTCGTTGTGCACCAATTTTAAATTTGGTGCACAAATTTGAAAATTTGTGCACCAAGTTGTGCACCAACTTGCGTTGCTGTGCACGGCACATGTGCCATGGCGATCACCGACATTCCATACTGGAGTGGTGTAGTTCTCCCACTTTTCCAACTTTAATATGCTAAATATCATGCAGTAAAGATACCTTCATTGCCGTATAGAAGCATACGTTAAAGTAGCTTTGCGCTTAGTTAAGGCCCTGTACCCGGAGTGAACGCCTGAGTAGGCGTCTTGTTTCAATATAGTTTGTAAATCTCAGAAGCGAAGGGTAGTGTTACGATATGAACTTCCTGTTTATTACTTCCGATATGCAAATATGTTAGGTCACGCGGCAAGTTCATACATACAAGTTACTGGCCGGACAAACAACTGCAACGCCTAAAGACCTGCAAGAAGGAGATCGTTTCGTACACAGGAGAACACCGTAAAATCACCGGAAGAGCCAAATTGCCGGTGTGGTTCGGAGATCAGCAAAGAACATTGAACTTTAACATTATTCACGGAGATTATCAACCAGTTTTATCATTAGATACAAGCATCGCTCTTGGCGTTGTTAATTTGACCAACTGTGACATTTTGGCACTGACAATAAAGCCTCCAGAAGACAACTCATATGTTGCAGAAGAGTATGCCGACGTTTTTGATGGCCTGGGCGAGATACCATGCCCCTCGACGTGTTCCAGTCGCATTACGATCTCAAATAAAAGCCAAACTAGATGAGTTAGTCGACCGAAAAGTCATTGTCCCTGTCACAGAACCCACTCGTTGGGTATCCAGTATGTTGGCAGTCGTCAAGCCGAACAAGATCCGTATATGCATCGACCCGCGAGACCTAAATCGTGTTATATGACGCGAACATTACCAACTACCCACTGTAGATGAAGTCACTTCAAGATTAACGGGTGCCAAGAAATTCACACTCTGCGATGCTAAGGACGGATTTCACCAAATCAAACTTGATACGACTTCGAGTTATTTGACAACGTTCAACTCCCCTTTCGGACGGTACCATTGGACTCGCATGCCATTCGGAATATCGAGTGCACCCGAAGTTGGGCAAAGGCGAATGCATGAGTTTGCTCAAGGTCTTAATGGAGTTGAAGTCATAGCAGATGACTTCCTTATCGCGGGATTTGGAGAAACTGGAGAGGAGGTCGATCGAAGCTTGGAAACGAATGAACGGGCATTTTTCAAGAAATGTCGTGAGTGGAACCTCAAGCTGAATAAATCGAAGTTGAAGCGATCACAGACAGAAGTCCGTTTCATGGGACACCTCATTACCGCTGATGGCCTCAAAGCTGATCCAGCAAAAGTCGAAGCGATCTTAGACATGCCTGCCCCAACTGACACAAAAGGCCTCAAACGATTTCTCGGGATGGTAAACTATTTGGCAAAATTTTTACCTTTATTGTCGGACATGACCGAACCGCTGAGAAGACTTGAAGATAAGGATGTAGAGTGGTGTTGGCTCGAACAACACCAGCAAGCCTATGACACTGTCAAGAAGTCTCTAGCCAAAGCGCCGGTCCTGAGATACTACGATGTCAGCAAGGAAGTTACTATTGAATGTGATGCTAGTGACACTGGCCTAGGTGCTGTCTTAACGCAAGACGGACAACCCGTTGTTTTTGCTTCGAGGGCACTTACAGATACAGAAACTCGTTACGCCCAGATTGAAAAAGAATTACTAGCGATTGTCTGGGCAACAAGCAATCTATCAGTATATCCTCGGCCGAGAAACCGTTACCATAGAATCCGATCATGAACCGCTTAAGGCAGTTTTCATCAAACCTATACATAGCTCGCCTAAACGGTTGCAGAGAATGCTGCTGGCCCTCCAAAATTACAATCTCAACGTGCAGTACAAGAAAGGCAAACTCATGTGGATATCGGACACCCTGAGTCGTGCATATCGGAACACAACAGAATCTTGGTGTCATGACACGACTGAGGTACGAGCCCTGGAAGAGATCGACCATGCAGAGAATCTGTCTATTTCTCCAGACAGACTCGACCAGTTTAAGCGCGAGACACGGTCAGATAAAACCATGCAGAGTATCATCGTCGCGGTAAAGAATGGCTGGCTTACATCCAAGAGACAGTGCAGCCAGGACTTGGCACCGTTCTACGACAAAAGAAGTGAACTAGTAGTTGATAATGGACTAGTTTTCGCTGGAGAACGTTTAGTAGTCCCAAAATCAATGAGAAAAGAAATGCTGACGCAGATTCACCGATCTCATATTGGCATAGAAGGATGTCTTCGGAGAGCCCGTGAGGTATTATATTGGCCACTCATGAACGCAGAGGTTAAAGATTTGATTTCTAAATGCCCAACATGCCAGGCGTATCAACCGGCACAATGTCGTGAAGAATTAAAACCATACCCAATACCATTCCGTCCCTGGGAAACGGTCAGTATGGACCTTTTTGAGCTTGGAAAACAACACTTTGTTCTGCTCGTAGACCACTGGAGTGGATTCTTCGAGGTCCAAGAACTTACGAGAACTACCGCTGATAAAGTCATAGTAGCCTGCAAAGTCTAGTTTGCACGACATGGAATCCCAGATACAGTGATAACAGACAACGGTCCTCAGTTTTCTGCCACAGAATTTTCAGCATTTGCAAGAGATTGGCAGTTTAAGCATCTAACTTCAAGCCCTTGTTACCCACAATCTAATGGCAGAGCAGAGAATGCGGTCAAGACTTGCAAAATGCTGATGACAAAAGCCAAAGCTGCTGGTCAAGACCCATTGTTAGCATTTTTAGACTGGAGAAACACCCCCACAGAAGGTCTGGGGTCATCACCTGCCCAAAGGTTGATGGGGCGACGTACGCGAACACTGTTACCGACTCACAAAAATCTCCTTAAACAACCAATCAACGAAGGCACTAGAGATAAACTGGCTGTTCGGAAATCACGACAAATTCGCCATTATAACAAGACGCACCATCCTCTTAAGCCATTAAAAAAAGGTCAAGCTATACGAATGAAATTGCCAAATGCAACAAAATGGACCCTTGGAACGTGTACCAGGGTTTTGGATAACAGATCGTACGAAGTAGAGGTGAGTGGAAGGAAATACCGACGAAACCGCCGACAACTCCGAGCATCGCAAGAAAGACCTCCAACACCACCAGCTGGTATGGATCCTGAGATTGGACCTGAGCAAAGCAGTAGGGAACCCGAGAACAGTTCGATTGTGAATGAACCCAATCTCGAACACGTACTTACACGTACCCCTATTAGACGGTGAAACCTCCGCTGAGATCATTGGAAATCTACCACGCCGATCTGCGCGTACAAAATATACACCGGTGTGGCACAAGGACTATGTCATGAAGTGAACGCTCTCAACTAAAACGTTAAGTACCAGTACTTTATGCATATATACAATTCTATATTATACAGTAGTTTCATATTTTGTTAAAGGGGAAAAGATGTCACGATGTTATTAGGTGACGTCACGATGACGAAAACATTAATTTGATTGACAGGCGCGGCGAGCGAGGCGTACGAATAGTAACACAAGCTAGGCGTTTTATATATTGTAAACAAATGACTATTTCTCTTGTTTCTTGTTAATCAGAAACTATATCGTAATAAACTAACACGTTACAGTTTAAACGTTATTTCAATTTCTAAAGGTCTCCTTTTTCTAATATACAGGGTGTCCCAAAAAAAAGTGACACTATAGAAATTATCTCATTGTTCTTAAGCCGTTCTTAAACGCGCGTGATTACACGCCTGGGAATTTCATGAACTTGTATTTACATTTAAGCATTTTAAAACGTTTTCGCTTTATCCAAATATTTTAACGCCCGAGTCAAGCAAAACGATTACACTAATAAACGGTTTGCTTTTTTTATTTTAAATTCCAGAAGCAGAAGTTTATGCACCTGTGGGATCAACTTAATGCTAGGGCATTCAAATTATAACAATAGGATAATTTCTATAGTGTCACTTTTTTGGGGGACACCCCAGGGTGTCCCAAAAAACCCGAAAACTATTGAAATCACGTATTGTTAAAATTGAATGCTTTACCAAAAAGCTGAACGTAATGATGCGTAAATATTGACAAGGTGCATGTATTAAAATTTAGTTAAGAACTATCTCCTTGTAAAGTGCGCGATTTTCTGCTCTTGGGAATTTAAAGCAGCTTCTTAAATAGTTCTTTATGCATAGAATTTACTTATGTCAATCATTTATGCACTCGTGGGAACCAACTGAGTGCTAAGGCATTCAAATTCTAACAATTAAATTGTTATTGTGATTTCAATAGTTTTCGGGTTTTTTGGAACACCCTGTATATATGAGACATAAAAAACGATTTCAAACATGGTGTCAGGAGTGAAAGTCGATTAAGATTAGCCAACAACAGCAGTAACTAGAGAATAGAACCGGTTCGAAGCGAAATCCGTGTACCATCGACGACCAAATACGTGAAAAAAGCAACATAGACATGACAGATACAAGCGGTGAACAGCAAACCGTCGCTCAAGCTACAACGTTACATTTTACATCTACTTTCCCGGTACCTTCCCCGATGGTTTGCCAGGGAGATAAAGTAGCCAACTGTGAGTTTTTCAAACAGCAGTGGGAAGATTACGAAGTCGCCACTGGCCTAGAAAAGCGAGACGCGAAAATTCGACTAGCCACGCTACGATCAGTAATGGGCAAAGAATGTATGCAGATATTTATGAATTTAAAACTAACAGTTGAGGAGAGAAAAGATATCGAGATATGCATCGGAGCACTTGAAGCACACTTCAAACCGAAACGAAACGTGATATACGAGCGATATAAGTTCAACTTATGTTCTCAGAATGCAGAAGAGTCCGTAGATGACTGTTAATCGCCTCAGAAAACTTGCCTCGTCGTGTCAGTTCGGGACACTGACAGACGAATTAATTCGAGACAGGCTCGTGCTGGTAATTACGGACAGATCGACTAAATTACGACTTCTCAAAGAAAATGGTCTCAACCTAAACAAGGCCGTGAACATGCGCCGCTCAAGCGAAATTGCGAACATACAATTGAAGTCAATGTCAACGACAAAAGAAACAGAAGAAGTATATGCTGTACAAGAAAAGGGAAACCGCCATAAGTATCCGTCATCCAAATTCCGATTGGCTAGCCCGCGAGTTGGTAGCGCTAGCAACAGAGATAACCATGGCCAAGGCTGTAAGAATTTCAAACAAAAATGCTACCACTGTGGCAGAAAACAAGACCACAAACCTGAGAACTGTCCAGCGTTTGGACAATCATGCAATGCCTGTGGAAAACAAAACCATTTTGCAGCAGTGTGTCGGAGCACAGGAAACCCAAGAAACACAAGAGACGTGCGAGCCGTGAAACATACCGGTACCCGTCGATTCATCCGATTCAGAAGAATCGATTTTCACATACGCCCATGCAGAATCGATTTCCGATACGCCCATGCAGACGTGAAGAAATCCTAAGCAAATATAAAGACGTATTCGAAGGTTTAGGACATATCGGAGACGCGAGTTTTTCGGTAGATCCAGAGAGCACGCCAGTGCAACAGGTAGGCAATTTGTCTGCGCATGCGCAGAGAAAATCAATATGGCGACATATTCAGGAGTGTTTCGTGGATTTATCTGGTTTTAAAGCTGATAAAGCAACATTTTAATGAACGAAAACTTTGTAATATTTAGTGGAAAACATTAAGCTGTACAGTCCAAAGATTTTAAATTAAAAATAAGTACTTTTGCTTTATTTTATTGATTTCTATGCTTTGAAAACAGGCAAGCTCATATTTTTGAAAAAATCTAATCTAATATTTTACCCATCATTTGTTTAATCTGAACAGAAATAGATAGAACACTTGGCTATATAAGTTATAAAAATATTGTTAGTTGATCTGAAGGATTTCAGTATTCCTGGTACACATTTTAATAAAGAATGAAATGTAATTTTAAAAATTAAATATGCATATCAAAAACAATAATTTTTATTAGAACAACACAGAATAAGTTGTTATTTTCTATTTTTACAAAAACAAGTTTGGAAACAGGATCTAGTCCTCCAGCTTGATGTCATATTCCATTTATTTTGATATTTGAATAAAGGAATGTGAAATAATAATTGACTCTTGTGCAAAATTTGATACCAACACTCATGTTGCTATCAAATAATTAATTAGGAAAAGACGAAAATTAATGGGGGCGCGCGGAATGATGGGAAGGGGAAGAGTTGCGGAGCGACTGGCAAATCCTGCATTCAAGATGGCGTCCGCTGCAATGGCGGACGAAGGATTGTCGTTCGGTTCATATTTGCATTTCCGACTTTGGAGTGGGGAAGATTAAAATATCTCGACAAGTATTTACCCCTTTAAAACGAAAACCATCATTGAAATCCTCATAAAATAACCTTTCGAACGGGGCGTCAAATGCCGTCATATTAAACATGACACAGACCAAAACAATCGTATATTTACTTGCCGCTTGGCCAAACATTCTTATTTCATATCGAGAAAAACTTGAATATCTTCTAAACTCTTCAGAATTTGCCCAAGTCAATAGCAGTAAAATACTCCTTGTATTCAAGCGATTTTATGTAGAAAGTTTCGTTTGAATACGATGAGCAGAAATATTTATTTTGAATTTTTCAAAATATCAGGTTTCTACTCGCACGCGCGTGCCACCGGCTGAAATTTAGATATTTTTAAATACCGAAATAAAAGATACAAATCTGCAGATACAAGCTTGAAAATAACACTCTAAATAGTGTGTTGGATTGTGATTCGAACAAGACTAATACGAAAAAGATGCGTTGAAAGGAGCCGAAGTTATATTCGGCGAAAGGTTTGGCTTAGTGATACATTGTTTACATTGTTCGAGTATATTGTATATTATAGGTATGGTATGGGCCGTATGGCTAGTTTACATTGTTCGAGTATCGCTAGTTTATATTTTATGGCCATTTACATTGTTCGAGTATATAGTTTCTTTCAAGCGGAATTTTTTGGCGGTATTTTCGTATTTCTACTGCAAATATTCGCGGAGTTCTTTAATATTTAATCTTCCCGTCATATGTTTATACGGAAATCAAATAATACGGACGGCATTGAGAAGCTTCTAAAAGAAGCTGAAAGAAGCTACTAAATCATCACTATCATCAAACTGCAAGTCTTCTAAACTCATTAACGGCCCACTGTCGTCAAGTGATTCCTCCATCGCCTAAAAAAACCCTATTTTCGTAGTTTCGATCACATTTGCAAAGTTTCGATCACATTTGCACAGTTTCGACACAGGATTTGGCAGGCTCCTCCCTCGTAATTTTTCGTCTTCCCATTTTCCTTTGCGCGCTCGTCCTTAGTTGCGGGCGTGCGCCTAAAGGCGTGCGTCTTTATCGATATCGGGCTTGTAGTGCACGCGCTGATCTATATATTTCCGATATTTAAAGATGCGGTAAAGTCCGTTCTGCGGATATATTCTGCGCATCAAAACGTTCCATCAGTGTGGGAGCAACCTTTGGAATGTTGTTAATATTTCGCCCCTTCCGAACTTTCTTGAATTGAATCTCTAGTCTGTATTCATTTACAAGAATAACGAACCAGAAAAGTGTTAAAAATTCAGTATAATATATATCTAATCGTATTTTACAACTGTAGCACTGCGTTCAAAATGTAAACAAAGCGTTTGTTTACATTACGGACTTTACATCACCTTTAAATTTATCTATATAGAGGAGCCTGCGGAGGAGGCAGCATGTGAACAGATACTTTCACCTAAAAATAGAAGAAAACAGAAGTTAAATTTATCATGTAATGCCATGAAAAAATCTTAGATACTACAGGCATATAGTGAGCACAACACTTTAACAAACTCACTAAAATAAGTTAAGTTACGCTATGATAAGAGGACGGCAATATATGACAACATCAAATGTCACCATCTTCAAAAAAAGTGCCGCGCGCATTTTTCGTGGTCGCATAACTGGTAATGCCACAAACCCAGGTGAAAAAGCAATTAGAAAAACCTGGTTTTGGATGATGAGCATAGTCAAATTCTTGACTTATTCAATTTTCTAAGTTTTTCCAGGTAAACAGATTCAACATTGAAATAAGCCCCATTCGGGACCTTATAGAATTCAAAATATTGTGTATGGACCAGTTTTGTTTCAATTTTCTGTGATTTACATGACACTAGTTATAATTTAAGGCTCAACCAGTATTGTTCAAGACATATTTTCCTTCCAAAACACCTTTTCAAAATACTAACCCAAACATGTCAAAAATAGTGTACATTTACAAGGGCAATTTCAACCCTTTGGCACATTTTTCCCATGAATGATTTTAATTCTAATAAAAGAACAATAGATAAAACTTTGATTTAAAGCTAGTTTCAAGTGATGAGCATACCCTAATTTTTAAGCTATACCTCAAAGAAGTTGGGTCAATACAACATAAACATTGAAATATGGGTATACTGACAGCTCTGTCACACTTGTAGTTTGGCATTAGCAGACAATCTGAAACATTTTAATTAAAATATAATTCACAAAATTCACATTTTCACTTCTTAACATTTGTTTTAATCCAACTAGCTCTGTAGGCACGAGCAAAATCTAGTGTTGATGTAAATATCCATTTAGTTCATGTTTCCTCGGTGAAAATATAGTCTATTCCAAAGCTGGATTTCGACGTACTTTAGCTTTTCAGAAACCGTTGGCCTTCCTCAGTAAGATTATTGACTGTTTCACAAACATATTTGATAGTAAACAGCTAAAATGTTGTCCGAAAGTCTATATTTTTGCTCTTCGAAGCGAAAATGGCAACTCGAGAAGAAATGAGCCGCTATTTTTGGTCAGCGTCGACAAATTGCCTACCTGTTCGCCAGTGCCACATGCGCCACGACGTGTCCCCGTAACCCTTCACACGCAGTATTTTGGCCCTCTATGAACAGTGAAATCACACGAAGTTCCTGATCGGCCATGGAGCGGAGTGTCAACAGATCTATTCACCCTATGAAACACGGATTACGTGGTCCTCGTAGATAGTTATTCAGATTTCCTCGAAGTTGGTAAGCTCAAAGGAACTACATCGTCAGCCATTATAGAGTTTCTTAAGGAACAGTTCAGTTGACGTGGCATCCCAGACGTTCTGGTGTCAGATAATGGTCCCCAGTATACCAGCCGAGAGTTCACAGATTTCACCACATAATGGGAAATTAAACACGTCGCATCCTCACCTTACCAACCATGCCAGACCTAGACGTTGGTCAAGAATTCAGAGTTCGGGGTCAAAAAGGGGGGAAAAAGTACGCAGAAACAGAGAAGAGATCAGGCCACGTTTAGATGTAGAGGAAAGGAACAGTGCAAATAATCCAGAAACAGAAGTGAGCCTGGACGCTGAAAGTGGTCAACATGAGTCAACGGTACCAGTAGAGCCCGAACCTAACGGGTCGCAGAGAAGAAGTTCAAGATCAATAACGGCCACAGCAGAATGTAGCGTAAACCAAAGGAGAAGTTCGAAGACAATCAAAGCACCGGCTAGATATAAAGATTATCTCTGAAGATTGTACCAAACTTGACACACACTTTATTAGTTACGTAGAACATTTTAAGTTAGCTATTTAATATTTTCATAATAGTGATTGACACTACAGTTATTTAAAGAAGGGGAGATGTTACGATATGAACTTCCTGTTTATTACTTCCGATATGCAAATATGTTAGGTCACGCGGTCAGACACACTTGGCTGAACGAGGACACGGATTTACATATTGTTGTTTTAATTTTGTGAGACACTTTTTGGTTAGATATAGTAGAGAAAGGTTGATGTATATATGAGACATAAAAAACGATTTCAAACAGGTAGAACTTGCCAATAGGCAATAGGCAATACTCCAATAATATACGTTTCAAAAAAGACGAAAAAGCTTTTAGTTTTGCAGAGTTACATTCTCAAATGTTTAAGGCACCAATAAAATCAAAGTATCATAAGCGCATTAGATCATATATCAATGTTATTTTGCGATATATATATATATATATATATATATATATATATATATATATATATATATATATATATATATATATATATATATATATATATATATATATAATATCATGCAATTTTATTGCGGAATTAAGAATCAAGATTACATCACTGATCGACACTGACATGGAAAGTTGACGATACGCTTCGCAACACATTCCATAGATTTTTTATTAATCCTATAGTTTATTGTTAACAAGTGATTACTGTGGCGGCTATTGTTAACACTGCTAAAATAAATAAATAAATCACACAATAATTTTTTTCAACTTGCAATCGTTTTGTTTTTAGATAAAAAATTCACGCCCCCGGGCCCCCTTTTGAGAAGGGGGCGAATCTCCTGGGGGGCGAAAGTCCTGTGACACCGGTCTCCATGTGATTGAATTGTTTAGGCCTCGGCACAGCAACTAAAATTCCACTGACAAGATCCTTATGTTGTAACTAACATTATTTTTTAAATTGGATTTTCATTAACAAATTTTGCTAACGCGTTGTTTACATCGTCTCTACCCAATTCACAGCTGTAGATAACTCACATGCTTAGGCCTGTTTTATACGTCAAATTTTGGTCGCGTCGAATGCAATTAAGACAATAGATAATGAGATGATAAACCTCATTAAGCTTCATTATCTATTGTTTGAATTGCATTCGACGCGACTGAAATTCGACGTATAAAACAGGCCTTAGTTATACTATTGTTAAAGTTTAACATGCAGAAACATAAAATAGAACAAACCATGCAGATCATTCTATTAATGTTTTTATTATATTTTAGGCCTGTTTCAAACGTCGCGCTTCTCATGTGCCGAATGCATTAGACACAATAGATAATAGATAGCTTAAGATCTACGACGTCGACGTCAGCTAGGACGTCAGGGCTATGCAGAGGACTGGGACTAGGATGTCGTCCTAATGTAGTCCCAGTCCTCTGCTTAGCCCTGACGGACTAGCTGGCGTCGACGTCGTAGATCTTAAGCTATCTAATGAAGCATTATGAGAAGTTCGACGTTTGAAACAGGCCTTATATTTCATTCTATGTTCCCTCTATTCTACGTTTCGGTAAACTAGAACGATAGTAACTGGGCATGTGAGTTATCAATGTTGAGAATTGGGTACGTACTAGATAAAACATGAGCAGCCGATCTGTATCTGATATACAAACTCGAGCCGAAGGCGAGAGTTTGTATATCAGATACAGATCGGATGCGAATGTTTTATCGTACTTAAAAAATGACCCATCTTATGAGTTCATTGGCAAAGTAATTTTAAAAATAAATATTGTCTAAGCCAAGAAAATCAAAGCTGAAGTTTATGTAAATCAGGACAAATCTTTATCCGATTTACAAACATTGATTAAACATTCATTTCTTTTGTATTTTCCTCGTGAATTATTAATGAATTTTTTAAAAACAATTGTGAATTGGGTATAAACAAACGTTAGCCAAATTTCTCTATTGCTGTCTTTCTGTACGCCATATATATACCATGAAATTAACACAATTTCGCCGAGTAAACAACCGTGACTTATTCAGTACATCTAAACTAAACAAGATATTTCATTTGTCAGCATCGCTTATCGCGTCGACAAAAGCGATGTCGACAGAAGTCGCCTCTCGCGAATAAATTCGCCTAGTGGAAAACAGGCCACTATATATTGGCGAATTTGTTCGCGCGGAGCGAAAAAAATAAATTCGGCAATGTGATTGGTTACGTTAGCGAAAAATCTCGCCTTCTACTTTTTTGGGATGAATTTTTTCGCTAACTAGACACATTGCCGAAATTTGGTTTTCGCTTCGCGCAGTCAAATTCGCCAAGTGTAAAACGCGCTTAAATTCGTCCATACGTCCCAAAGGTAACAAAAACACCGTGGCCTCAGATCTCAGTTTCTCTCGGTAAAACAATTGCAGGTAAAACAATTAGCACGTATCTGCATGCGTTGATTTCGTATCGTTGTTGCTGAGTTCAACCTGATACTCAGGGTTTTCACTTCCGCTATCCCCCCAAACCTAGCGGAAGTGAAAACCCTGAGTATCAGGTTGTGCTGGGTTAAGGTCTGCCTCGTACCCAGGCGTCATGTATGTGTTCCTGCTATGGCTTGCGTGGCCTTTGCCGCCCCTCGTGCGCTTGATGACGTAAAAAACCAAAGCGCCTGGGTACGACGGGGCAGGGTTAAGGTTAACACTTAATTGTGCAATGCAAATATAACTTAATAAGTATAGGTAATCATGCGATGGCGAGTACAATTAGGGATTAATAGTACGAGTGATATTTGGAAATTTTGCCAAAATTGAACGAGCCGCCAGGGCGAGTCCAATTTGACAAACATCACGAGTACATATTAATCCCTAATTGTACGAGCAACATCGCATGATTACTTCATTATTAACATGACAAAATTGGATACTTCTCAATGTCAACATAATTTTCTCTCGCCAAAGTAAGCCCAGTCCTGCAAGACTTTCGGCCAAAATTTGGTGCTTTTGTTCGTATTTTCATTTGTTCTTTTGTTAAAGAAAAATTTGGTGCTTTTGTTCGTATTTTCATCTAGTTCCTCTAGGGCAATTTCATTTCACGCTTGTGTTTAAAATACCTTTCCGCCATTTTGTTTGTTTTGGGAAAATCATTAATTGTACTGCAGTACAATGAATGAAATAATTGTACTCCTCTCAGCCAATCAGCATCCAGTAATTTTGTCATGCTAATAATAAGTATAAAAATTAGTATTCAAACAAGTAAAATTAGTATTCAAATTGCTTATAAATAGCATCAGTAGAAAACTTGAAAGAAAAAAGTAGAAAAAGTGCAAATATTTTAACAATGCAGTGAAATCTTATACATACTACTAGACTTTACCAAAGTCCTTTCCAGTTTTTTTGGGGTTTTTTTTGGAGGGGGGACATTATTCTAGCCAATAAAAATCACATATTTAAAATAATTTGAATAAATTATTCAAAGCTCTCGACTTATAAAGCTTTCGACATAAATTTCAAAGAATACTAGAATAGAGAATATCTGAATATGCATGGTTCTTCACGAAGATGCAATAAAATATGGTCGCTTAAAGTTTGTTAGTTTACTTTCACTACAAAGAACTGTTCGAATTATTATTTCACTGTTTTCGCAAACATTAATTAAATAGGTAATTTATGAAACGTACAGCTTCATTGAAACAGAAAGCAGTGTATCTAAACGTCGCATTTTACATGTTCCGAATGCATTCAAAACAATAGATAATCAGCTGAAATGCCTTATTATCCATTGTTTTGAATGCATTCGGCGCATGTAAAATGCGACGTTTAGAACAGGCTTTACGCATGAAATGAAAGAAACAAAATTCATAAACAACATTAAACGTTCAAAGTTTTTTTATGTCCAGAAAAGAGTCGCCGTCGCTTATTTATATTTTTCACGTCTTTGCTGCATTGTAGACACAACGTGTCCTCGGAATTTGGGGAAAGATCGACTCGTTCAAATCTCTTTACACGGGCGATTTTTGCTGCGATTTTTGCTGCGATTTTAGTTGCGATTCTCTCCTTTTGGAGGATGTGAAGGAGTAGTTTACTTGATGATGTTGTTATGAGATTTCATAACCTGGAACATTTATAACTCATCCACTTCTTCACATCCTCCAAAAGGAGAAAATCGCAACTAAAATCGCAGCAAAAATCGCCCGTGTAAACGGGCCTTTAGTTGGCGTGCAAACTGTTGAAACCGCCATTAAATAAAGTATAGTCATAATAGAAAGAAGTGTTCTATAAACAAAACACATGAAAGCAATGTTAAAACCGTAAATTTATCGGCATTTTATTAACAATCATCATTAGAAATGGCTATGTTTTCAAATTTGAGCGGAGATCTACGATGCAAAAAGCAAACCAAAATCTATTTTACTGTAATACAACTGAGTCACTGAAATCGACGAGTTTTGTGAAGCTTACATCCACATTAATTAACTGCATTAGTTTTCGCGCCAGAATTTTTAATCAGATCGAAATCCCTGCAAGCGAAACAAGTCGATCTCGCGGCTTTGCCGCTCGCTGGTACAAGATTGAGATCGACTTGTGGCAAGTCTAACATACTACGTGTACATCATTAATAAGCCTCATGTAGAAACAAGAAATTTTACTGTTATATGTGTTATGTAAACCTAGTTGTTCGAAATTTGAGTAGCTTACACACCTGGGTTAGGGTAATGTTGAGAATTACAGACATTATTTAACATTTATTTAGTTTCGTTTGAATATTCTTTATGAAGTAATAAAAAGTTAAACGTTTCCGGGCGTAAGCCCAGGGCGAGGATACCAATTTCGCTCGGCTATTTGCACCCAGGGAAGGAAAGCATTAGCGAAGTCTAAAACACAGAATAGAGACAAACAGAAGGTCGACTTCTTGGTTAATTATTGGCGTAACCGTAATTCGTCATCAAAATGCTGATGCCCTTTTATGAGAGGCATTAACCCCCCTGATAATATTCAAAATGGCGGACATCCAGGGAGTGAATGCCTCTCAT